TGATCTATTTTCTAAATGACAGGGTGTGGTTATGAGAAGGGGGGTTATTTTTTATGTATTTAAAAAGAAAAGCCTCGTAGTGTTCGCAGTTCATTGGAATAGTTCATTGATTCTAAAAAAATATAGACAAGTCAAATAGGCTCCGACAGACATGCATGTACGTACGGTATTATATAGTTGGTCAAAAATTAAATTAAACACTTTAAAGGGGTGGGTATATGTAATGGAATAAAACGTCACCCCTACTTTTCTTTTTTGTCTTCGGCTATGCCTTGTGCTTTACTACTTTGAGAAATTATGTAGCTAATGTTTCAATTTATTGTCAAYAACATGATCTAGTTGACAAACACAAAAAACTGATGTCAACTCATAAAATGGATATATAATTAACTTCACTCGGCCAGTAGTGTACGTTTTGATTCAGTTCAATTATCATCAATAAATTATTCATAAGTAAGCTGATCTTAAGTTAATACCATGTTACTCAATATWTTTTTCTTTATTTTGTTCTTTCCATAGGTTTTATGTGGGATATGTTTAAAGGTGAGTTATGAAGCCAGAGCATCCCACACAATGCTTGGGACCTCATAAGAGCTTTTAAGTTGTGTYGTGTTTCCAGGTCCAATTGCAAACACAAAGCAACACTACAATAAAGCAAAGAATGTCCTCGATGATTTAAACTGTACCTGAAACGATCTTGATTTTGGGAAACAAATCTTCTAATGAAGAGAAAGTCAGACAAATCTGGGTCCTTACCCTGCTGTGGGGAGTGGCAACGTAAGGCCATCATAAAGCGGCAAACTAAGGCATTTTCCAAAAAAATGGGGAATAAGCTTGGGCAATATAGGCAATATAAGGCAATCCAAGCCAATCTTAGTCAATATGATGGCTAGGCGACATATTGCAATCAAAGGTGAGCTAATTTWAARRAATGATAGAATCTAAGGTGGTCGTCTTAGATTATCTAATGCASGGTAATAACCCAGAGTAGGTCTAGAATATCAAAAGCTGGCCATTAAAAGTTCTATTTGACAGACTGCATGAGTCCAAGGCCCCAGATTGAAACATCCTTATTGTGATTACAATCTCTTTTCAGGAACAGTGATATATTTGAAGACTGAAATATCAGGAAAAGCAGTTCTACTAACCTTAGCAGGAGCAACCTTAATTAGTATATATGGGATGGATCCTGAAAAACTGCAAAACCTTAAAGCTTTTGTCTAAAAAATCTCTGGGGATTTCAAAGACATCCATATTGCTTTAAATATTCAAAATGCCGGTG